TGAATTTTTTTATTTAATTTTATAATTAATTTTTAAAAATTTTTTGGATAAAATTTAATTAGTTGTTTTAAAAATTTATAATTAAAAAAAATGAGATTAATAATTTAATATAATATATAGAGATTTTAAATGAAAATTTTTTATAATTTTTTTTTATAAGTTAGATGAAAAATAATTAAAATTAAATATTATATTTTGATTATGTTATATATTAATTTATAATTTTGTATCTGAATTTTAATTTTTTTTTTGTTGTTTTGATATTTATATTATTGCCAATTCTTTTGATATTAGATTAATTCTTGTTATTTTTGTATAATTATTGAAGATTATGTTTATTATATAATTATTAAAAGTAGCTTGTGATAAAAAAAAATTATATCAATTAGTATATCAAAAAAATTAAGTTACTTAACAAATTTAGCATTTTATGATCTATTACTCTTATTAAGATTAAAAACTAAAAAATAAAAAATATAGGTTTGAAAATTTTATTAAAATATAAGTTTGAAAACTTTTAATTTTTGAAATTTTTTTAGATAAAATCTAATTAGAGGGATTGAAGATTTATAATTAAAAAAATTAAGAGATTAATAATTTAATATAATATACATAGATAATGTACCCTCCACCACAAATGTATCATCCTCAAATATATCTTTCACCTCAAATATATCTTTCACCTCATATGTATCAAGAACAAAGGCATCATGAATGGAGATGGAGTCAACTTAGCTCTCAAAATGAAGATAGAGAATCTGATCCTCCTCGTCATTCTACCATGTGATAAAATTTGAAATATATATCAATAATTGTAGTTGATGAAATTTGAAATTATTATATTTTTAAGTTTGTAATTTTATTAAATTAAATGCTTGGTATTTAATATATTATGTTTTGTTAATATTTGATTTGTTTAGAATTAATATTAAATATGAACTTGGTCAAGATAATTTTTATGGATAAACTAAATATGAATGCTTTTTATAATCTAAATAAAATTGTAAATAATTTTTTTAAAAAATAAAAAACATAGAGTGTCATAAATTATTTTTAAAATCATAGAATAAGAGTTTTTATAATTATAATTATTATTATAATTATAATTATTACATTTTATAATAAATTGTGCAAAAAAAAAAATTCACGACCGTGATGACCGTAATGATTGTAATTATCTCCGTTATATTCGAAAATACAATAAATATTACGCGACCGAAAATGTGATCGCGACCATTATTTAAATCCCTGGTTGCATCCATCTTGCTTGGTCTTTCTGTAAATTAGAGGCATTGATACTGAAATTTAGTCACCCAAAATTAATGTTGTGAATGTTAGTCTCCTAGCATCAGGGTTCTCTCCCCTTTTCCTGACTTACTCAAATTTAGGTGAGAGGATGATGGCTTCTATTGTTTCAAATGGCAAAGTTGATCCGATCTGAAATACTAGCTCAACTTGAATCAATTCAAATCCCTTTAATCCGATTTGATAAAAAAATCAACAGCACGAAACCATTCAATCCAAGTCCAATTGGATGAGAACTCCAAATTTATATAAATTCAAAATTAACTTGAATCTAAATTAATAAAATTTAAAATGATTTAAATCCAAATTTATCCAAATTTGAAAGACTCAAAATACTAACCTAAAATGATCCCATATTAAATTGAGTAGATATAATTTTACTTTTTAGAAAAAATATTGCAATTAAAAATAATAAAATTATATAAAACATTAATTTATTAAAATTTAAATCTTTATATTATAATTTTAAAAAATAATTTTGAATTATAATTTAAAAATAACTTACAATTACCTTTAAAAAGAAAGAATTATTTTTAATCATAATTTTAATTTATCTTTTCTTAATAATGATTAAAAATAAAAATATTTCCATTATTATAATTGAAATAAATTTATATATTTGTTTATATGTCATAAATAAAAGTTTTTTAGGTTTTTATTCTTAACAAATAACAATATAATAAAGAAAATAATTAAATAGATAAATAATAACTTTGAAAACTAAGAAATAACCAACAATAATTTAATAAAGCTAATAAAAACACCTATTTGTGTATAACTACTTGTGTACTTGTGTTATGTTTTGTCACATTTTAATTATTTGCTTATTTTTAGTAAATTATTATATTTATTTTTTACTTTAGTTTTAAACAAAAAATAATGCAAATATATAAATATATAAAAAATTATTTGATATATTAATAGTGTAGTTTTTAATTCTACAAGCGAAATAAAAATTATGACAAATGTCTCATTTTTTCCATTTACTTTTTTTATTTTTTTAAATATATATTAAGAGACTTGTACTATTTTCTTAACTCTGCTTGTTAAGTTGAAAAATTTTATTGTCAATGTATTTGATAAGTTTTTTAAATATATTATTATATACATATATAAGGCCCAACTTTTATCTTTTATTATAAACAAAGTTAATTTTTAATATAACCTAATATAATTTCATACTAGCAAAAAAATTTTATTTATTTATTTTTAGATTTTTATTTTTTATATGATTTAATTATATTTAATTTTGCAAATTATTTTTAATGATGTTAACAATTAAAATTGGACATATGACATGCCATAACTACATTTTTCATAAATAATAATTTAATTACACTTCGATCCATTCAAAATTGATTTGAATAGTCCATTTATTTACATTATCCGTTTGCCGATTTCCAAATGATTTAAATTCGAATAAGCTTAAAGGTCAAATCCAAATAATTGAAAACAAAATAATTTGAAAATGTAATTATAATAATATGATATTCAAAATGATTTAAATTCAAATAATTCAGATGATTCGAACTTAAATTAATCTGAATCCATATGACCTAAATTTAGAGTGACGCAAATTTAAATGTAACTCAGAATCTAAGTGGACCTAAATTCAAAATATCTCAAATTGAAAATGAAACCAAATAATTAAAATAGAAATGATCTTAACCTAAATTAATCTGAATGCAAAATAATTTAAACCTGAATTATTCAAAATAAAAAATGATCCTAAAGTTTTTCGATCCATAAAAATGTGATCCAAATATAAAGAACCTATCCATTTGACGACAACTCAGTTTTCATATCTTACTGCAAGGTATGTTATTTTTCTAGTTAATGACGAATAAATACTTGAGCTGACACAGTTAGGCTTGACGCCTGAGTTCTTTGAAGCACTCTGAAGGTCCCTTCCCTTATAATTCTCTTGTAAATGCCAAGAAACCGAACTCGATTTTATGAGTAGCTAGACTTTGGCACCTTCTCTTGCGTTTATTAATATTTCCATCGACTATCACCACGAATTTTTTTTAAGAGTAATGAAACACACCGGCAGTAGGCTGTGGTGAAAATGTCCGTTAGGCCCTCCAAGTTCGCAAATTGATTCGGTCTCATCATCTCATTTCTTTTCACATCCTCTAAACAAAATGGAAGACGAGTAATCACATTAGAATTTTCCTTTTACAAACAGATTTAAGGCAGGTCTTCGGATAATCAAAACTCCGAAATGAAGCTATTCTTCAGTGCTTCTTATCACGACAAGAACTTAATAAACGCCATGGTATCCTGAATGTGGTATTATCCAGGTAGTGGAACTTGTCCCTCCTGTCCTGAATGCCATGTTTCCACATCAGAATATGACTAAAGATAACTAGGTAGGCTACAAAAAACCCAGGTCCCGGCACCCATTTACCACCCCAACATAATTTCCAAATCAGAAGGTAAAGGGGGGGTTGACGGCGGAAGAGAACACCTACGGTCTTAACTATGAAATAGTCCTTATTTTCAAACAAAACTTACCACATACTAAAGCGGTAAACTGGTATAGTAGGATGCATATCAAACTCAAAATTTTGTTATAGCAGGTTCTAACTGCCACCATGAAGGTTGATAATGCATCAAATTCATACTGAATTACTTATCAAAATACAATCTGGAATCCATTTTGGTTGAATCCATGGTAGGAGATCACTCAACAATAAATTAAACGTTTAACCTCTAGGGCTTCAGTCAACAAAATGAAACTTACACCAACAACGACTGCTTTGAAACAATTCCAAAACAGTAAGCGCTAAGCCACAGCCATGGATGTTCCCGAGGGGCAAGGGGACACCTGGCAGTAGGAGCTTCAGACTATATCTCGGAAGTTTCCAGTTCAAATTCTAAGTTGGGAACGGTAGAATTAATGGGATGAGAAAGGACTACCTCCCATTGTGTAGCCCAATTTAAATGTAACCATAAAAACATATAAAAAGTGTAATGGTAGAATAACATAATTTAAAAAAAAAAAACCACAGCAATGGATATGTATAGGTGAAATAAAATAGCAAGATCACACAAGTCCTATGTCTACAGTTTGTTTCCAACTAGACATGCTTTTATGTGCAACAAGAGAATAACCTTCCACATTCAAAGATAGAACATGTCATTAATAACATATGGCATATAGAAACATCCTTAAGAATCAGTCAATCATGAAATTTAATGCAATAAAACATACATTTGATAGGCAATGAGCAAGTCTCTGAACAATTATCATTCATGTAATATATCATAGGAAGTATCAAGCACCATTCTTTTCTTTTTTTTTTTTTGGGGGGGGGGGGTGTGGGGGAGAGGCGGGTGGCGGTGTGGAGGTTCAGCAAGGGTGGAGACTTGTATGCGCAACAACAGAATAATCTTCCACATTCGATACGGAACATAGAACTAAAAACATAAGGCATACAGAAAAATCCTTAAGAATGAATAGATCATGAAATTTGAAGCAATAAAACAAACACATTTGACAAGCAATGCACAAGTCTCTGAACAATTATCATTCATGTCAATATATCATAGGAATTATCAAGTACTATTCCTTTTTTTTTTTTTTGGGGGGGGGGGGGGTTTCAACAAGGGTGGAGGTTTTTGTCAACCATCATTTCTCATACATATGCCAACTTAATGCTATGACGTGCCGGCTCTACTGATCCCTGGCAGCTTACAACCATAATATAATATCAGCCCCATATTTCAAAGACTGAATATGTCTTCAGTAAACCTATTACTAACATAAATAGCAACAGCAAAAACGGGACATTACATAACCATATCAAAATTTTGAAAAACCCTAGTGCACAGTTCTTTCATGGATCCCTTTCTAACAAAGATTAGTTTATTAAACCACAACCATAAACAAGCATAATTTATCCAGTTCAAAATTAATAAAATCTAGTCGATTCCTCAAAGGAAAGTTTGATCCAACTAGCTCATTAAATATGTCCCACTCCTTTAACAAAAGGAATTCCTCATGTTCAAGTTGGATGCCATATTATTGGTACACAATTAACCTCAAATTATTTCATGGCATATCGAAAAATAACAATAATAATGACAACAACTTCAAGCACGAAAACAAGAAACAAATGCCCAATAAAAAAACTGATTAGGGAAACAACCACAAAAATCACCTGCATCATTGCTCAACATTTTCCAAGTACCACTTGTAAGTATCAATAAGCCCATCTTTCAATGAAATCTTGGAGCTCCACCCCAATGAGGCAAGTTTCGAGCTATCCATGAGCTTCCTCGGAGTCCCATCGGGCTTCGAAGTATCCCATACAAGCTCCCCTTCAAAGCCAACAACTTCCTTAACCAACTCAGCTAATTCCTTAATGGTAACCTCTTTCCCACTACCTACATTCATATGTTCCAATCCACTATAATTTCCCATCAAGAAAACAACCGCATCAGCTAAATCATCCACGTGCAAAAATTCCCTTAACGGACTTCCACTCCCCCAAACAACAACTTCTTTTGCTCCTTCCACCTTGGATTTATGAAATCTCTGCATCAACGCGGGCAAGACGTGGGAATTTTCAGGGTGAAAATTATCGTTGGGACCGTACAGATTCGTGGGCATAGCCGAAATAGCATCGAAGCCGTACTGGATTCGGAAGGCTTGGCACATTTTAATACCTGCGATCTTCGCAACGGCATACCATTCGTTGGTGGGTTCCAGGGGGCCGGATAAGAGCGCGTTTTCCGGGATGGGTTGCGGCGCAAATTTGGGATAAATACAGGAGGATCCGAGGAAGAGGATTTTCTTGACGCCGTGGTGATACGAGTAATGTATGACATTAGTTTGGATTTGGAGGTTGGTGGTGATGAAATCGGCGGGGTACGTGTTGTTGGCGTGGATTCCGCCCACTTTTGCGGCTGCTAGGATGACGTATTGGGGCTTTTCGGTGGCGAAGAAGGATTCGACGTCGGATTGGCGGGTGAGGTCGAGCTCGGAGTGGGTGCGGACGACGATGTTGTTGAAGCCTAAGGATTGGAGCTTACGGACTATGGCTGAACCAACTAGGCCTCGGTGGCCTGCTACGAAGATCTTGGCTGATTTGTTAGAGAAGAAAGAATCTGTGGAAAAGAAAAAACAAAGCAGAGTTAGATTTAAGTTGAGATTTGTTCGGGATCTCAGAAAGAAAGACAGAGAGAAGGAATTACCAGTTTCTCCCATTGCTGGAAATTGAGAAGTGAAGATTTAGAGTGAAAGAGTGGGAAAACAAGGAGAAGTGTCGGTTTGTTTTTCAACGCCCAGATAGCCAGATGTTTTGGTACTCAAATCTGATATATCTGGTGTTTTTTGAGTGACTAGGCTCAGTGAGGTTTGTTGGACCCTGGATTTTGGCCTAATAAACTTACGTTATTAGGCTTCAGCTCGGAGATCATTAAAGCTTGAGTATGTATCCATATTTTTTTGTACAAAAAAGAAAATAGTTATTGTCTGTCTGAGAACTCTAGATCTAACAACTAGGTAAAACTTGGGTTTGATTTAAACAAAATTTGCATCTGAGAAATTTGGTCGTGGATTTAAGGATTTAGCCATTTAGGAAGCTTCATTTGCCAATTTTGAGTGGAACAGCTAACAAAGCAGTTCAGTTAGAGCACAAGGAAAGGGATATCCAAGTATTAGACTGGGTTGGCGTCCAGCCCAAAAGGTAACTTTGTTGGCCCAATTTTGAAACTTGATGCCCCCAAGGCACAGTTTTTTGGTATAGAAGGGGATGGGGATAGATAAGATTTGTTTGAACAGAATGATTAATCCATCTATAAAGTTTTGAAAAAGCAAAGGCAGCTGGTGTTGCAAAGGAGCTTCAGCACCTAGGATGCGGGAGCAAGTTGATGGATGGGGGTGCAAGTGGAGCCACCTCAAGTTGTCCCATGTACTGCAAGGACTAAGGGTAGTGGGGAAGAAGTTTCTTCTTCTTACTAAGCCATCATCAATAGCTCAATCAGTTTCACATATCAAAGCAGATTGCTTCTCTCCTGCATGTTATCCTGTCTTTGTCACATCTTTCTTTGTCATCATCATCATTTCATTCTTCGAATCTTATGGAGTAATACTTCTCTTGTACAGTTGCATTATATGCTTCACCTACTTGTTACGAGTATTCACACCTGCAAAATGATCTCACCGGCTATTTTCACTCGCTAATTCTATATTTATTTATTTATTTAAAAATGAGAATAACCCAATAAAAAATACAAGCTCGGAACTTAAATATAATAGTTTGTACTTTTTCATATGAGTTTAAACTTTTGAAATAATCAGTTGTTCAATTTAACATAATAAGATAGCTCTTGAATTTGAATCTTAACAATAGTTTTCTTTTTGATATTTCTTTATCCAATGTCTTGTTGTTCCTCGAGTTGGGTGTTGCTACTTTAATCCTTCTTCAATATGTGCTTTTTTCTATTCTTAAATTTATATTAGGCTCATTAATCATTCACTGAACTTGCAAAAGACGTATTAAATTTTAAATACATAACGAGATCCAATTAACTATAGTATCATTATCAAGACAACTTCTTGTGTCAAGAGAGAAAATGAAAGAGGAGGCTTAATATATCAAACGTGGGTTAATCAATAGCGAAAATTATGATTAGGGGTATAATCGATTGAGTTTGAATCGATATAGTATTAAGTTCAAATTCAAGTTCAATTCAAAATTCGAAACTCAATTCAAACTCATTTGAGTTTTTTTTTAATTTAAATTCGATTCGAGATAAAATCAAACTGCTCAAACACATTCGATTAAATTCAATTAACATGTAAAAATAAGTTTGATTCTTATATTTGATAAAAATTTAATTATTTGTACTCGAACCTAAGCTCAAGTTCAAAATATTTTATTAATTAAAATTATTAAAATATATTAAAATATAAAAGTTCAATTAGGTTCATGAACTATTCGAGTCAATTTAAAAAATACTCTAACTTTGTTTGATCGATAAATCGAGCTATTCGAACATAGGCTCAATTTGATAATAACGAAATCAAATTCAAAATTTATTTAAATTAAATTCAAATAATTTATAAGTATTAATATATTATTTACACCCCTAATTATGATCACACGAAGCAAGTCAATATGCACTAACTAATGTAATAGCTTTGCTTACCAAAGTCTTTGACAGTATTTCCTTTATTAATTAAAAGAATATATTCACAAAATATTTTTTCAAAAGTAATTTTCAAGATATATTATTACTAAGGAGAGAAATCAAATTATATTTGGGTAAAATTTTTTAATTTTTTAATAATTAATTTTAATAGATTTAAGATATGAGATTAAATCAATTTTTTCATTTATCTCTTATCTCCCTTTGATTTATTAAAATTAATAATTAAAAAATATAAAACTCAAAGATTTTACATTAATATAAGTTAATTTTACTTCTATTATTATTATTATTATTATTATTATTATTATTATTATTATTATTATTATTATTATATTAAATCTTAAAAATATATTAGAAAAATTCTTCTAATATGTACTAGCAGCTTGTTTTTACAAGATGATATGATGGGAGTGTCAAAGCCAAGAGTATATGTAGCGTAAGGCAGGTAATTGCTATGAAAAAAACATTTATAAACTAAAATATTGCAAATGTTACCATTTACTTTATTTTATTTATTATATCCATTAATAAATTTAATTTGAATTGGACTACAATTAGTATTTCAGTAAATGTAGAACACAATATACATGTTTGTATATATCTTTCATTTCACAGATTTTCTCTTTTGGCCAAAAAAAAAAAATCACAGATTTTCTCATTCACCAAGAACAAGGTGGACCAAGGTGATTAGCTGGGCAACAATATGAATGTATTTGCATTTACCATAAAGCGTTCAATGCATTAACTGGTTGTTTTCAATCTCAAAATTTTGCCGTCAGATATTAAAACAAGGAAGGAAAGCCCTTTTATTGATTCCCTCTGTCCGCCGTTAATCAGTCCCGAGGAAAAACGCGAACAATTCTAGATCGAGAATGAACATGAAAAATGGAAATTTTGCAATTTGCACTGTTACAACACATTTTTCTCTGATTCATGATTCCTGATTACATTAATTCCAAATTCAACAGAAAATGATTGCATTGACTCTGATCACTGCCATGGATTCAAATCCACAACGTTTCAAGAAACAGGAGCCAACAATAAATTTTGTTCTCCAATAAGATAAAGGAATGACAAATCAAATGTGTAATACTGTTCCAAGTCAGGTCATGTCATACAATCAATTATATAATTCGACTCTACTGGTTAGAAAGCATGGAAATGACACTGACAACAGCTATCACCTATCACCTAGGGGACCCCAAACAAAGATTATGCCAAACCCTGTTTATTTCCCAAAAACATTTTAAAAGACTCTCGACCTACCAAACGGTACCCAAGAGCCAAGACTTGACACCCATAATGTTTATTAACTCGAAGCTAAAAATAACACGACAGCCTGTGACTGACTGACAGGCTACCAAAACTGACAACTCTAAATGGCTTTTTCTCATCTCAGGCTGACGAAATACACGGACAAACCACCGCGCCAGCCACTCCTCCTCTTCCTCCACTGTCTCCTTCAGCAGTGCTGCTGCATGGTCAATTTAGCCGGTATGCACACCGTGCACCTCTCGCCCTCGGAGGAATAAGTCCTGTAAACCACAGACCCACCACCTGGCAGCTCCTGCTGCACCATATACTGACACGTGAACCCTTCCACGTTAGCACCTTCCATGGCCCATAAACAGGCCCCACCACGGCACGTGACCGCAACAGAAAACTCGTTCGGACAAAAACATTTCAGCACCCTCTTGACAAGAGGTTCCAGCTTGACAGAGTCGGTGTCGAGTCCCATGGCTTCGTAGCTAGCGTAACTGAAGCCATCTTCTGGTGTCACGTGTACCGTTGAGTAAGCAAACCCTTCGATCCCATTCATCGAATACCCACACGGGTCAAACTCGAAGTCGCATATCACGTGACTCGAGATGATGTCAGCAATCCCGGACGTTTTTGTCATTTGACGAGCCGAACAATTCCCATTCCCCGACTTTTTGTAAAAGACTCCTGCCTTTTCTCTGTCCAACCCCGTCATGCACATTTCCAGAGTGATCTGTCCCCTCCAATCTTCCATCAACGGTGGTGAACATTTTGCTACAGCCGAGTAAACGTGCCAGCTACAAGTTGGAAACTTCGGATCGCCGATTATATAAGCCTCGGTGATAAAATCATTGAAATGTTCGTTTAACGCAGTAACTTCGTCAGAGAAGTTACGGTGAGGGGCAGGTTGGTGATGAGGGAAAATGAAGGTGCCCCGTGAGTAGTCGACTCGAGATACGGTGAGTGAGAGCGAGTTACTGAGCTCGAGAATTGGGGGAATTGATAAGAGAAGCTTCGTGGTTCCACATGTTTTGAGGATGATTTTGTTTGGGTAAATGAAGAGGCTTGACTCTGAGAGAACGTAAGAGTCGAATTTGGAATTTGAGAGCTGAGAAACAATGGCGCAGCAAGCTGGTTCGAGGATGGAGTCGAGTTGGGCTTTAGATAAGGCTCGAAGGCCCAGCCCATTTGGGTCATTGAAGATGGGTAGATCGAAGAAAGTGATTTCCAGGCGTTTTTCGAAGCCTTCGAAGCCCACTGGTGAAGGAGGTGGTGGGGAATCCATGTCGAGTTTCATTACAACAAAGCTCAATGCTAACAATGCCACTGGAAATTGTTTTCTTCGATTTTGAATTGCTCAATTGATGTTTCCGTCTTTGATTCTTAGCAATTGCTTTTCAATTTGAGAGAAAGAAAAAAAATACTAAATAGAAAGAAAAAGAAGAGGCCGAAAAAATTCCTACTCTAAGACTGAGGGTGCCATTCAGCTCGGGCTGTATCAGGATGGCTTTCTAACGCACTGCAACATCAAAAACATTCAAAGAAACAAAATGTTAGACCAAATAAATAAATAAAAGGCTACAAAAATCCAAGAATGATAAAAAGAAAGTGCTCTTTTTTGGGGGAATGAAGGAAACGTACGTTGGAGTAAGCAGCAGATCGGAACTTTTCGATGCCACCGTTTGGACGAATGTCTTCAATGCTGTAACCAAGAGGAACTTCGTATTGTAAAGAATTACTACTACTACTACTGGACTTCTTTTTGCCACCCTTGGTCTCCATTACAACATCCACGCTATCCTAAACCAACAATCTCCAATTAATCTTCTTTCTCAAAAGATTGAATCTCAACCAAATCGGTTTTAGGTACAACGAAGATTGTATAAGAGACTGAAACTTTACGAACCAAAAACCAATCTTTCAAATAGGAAAAAAAACCCACATGCACAGCCAAATAAACAAATTATTAGGAACCCATTGTTGGATAACAAAAGCAAAACTTAAGTTTTTAAGTACTTACAGTTCTAAGAAAATATTGTGATCAATGGTGAGAGAACTCTTAAAAGGGGAAGACTTAAAACCGGAGATATCTGATCAAGAAATTGTTTACCAAAGTAAAAAATAGGGCAGGGAAAGGGAATCAGTGGTGAGAAAAACAAGGATTGTTTTAAGGGATTCGAATTTTGGATTACGCGATGTACAGGGAAGAGTTTTTTCTTTTGTGCGAGTAAGAGAAGATTGCGGATACAGAGTATTTATAGAAGGCTAAAAGATTGGCTAGGAGTAGCATTAGTAAAAACTAGAGTTTGCTCTTAGTGAATATTAATATAGCGGTTTGGCGCTAGGGGATTTTTGTTCAGTCCCACGTGGCGGCGCTCTTGCTCTGGTTCCTCGGCTCGTATTATTATTTCCAATTTGACCTAATCACTATCTCACGTGTTGCTAAAGAGCGTGCACGACACGATTTGTCGGATTGGAGGGAATTCTCTATTTTAGGAAAACCAATTTGGATTTTGTGAAAACAAATGCTAGCCCACTTTTGGAGAGAGGATTCACCTTTCCCACAAGAGCGTGAGGGTTATTTTATATTAGTTTGGGGTTAAAGTTACAGGTGGAGACAAACAGGGATTTAGATGATGCCGATATGAGACGTTGCCAGCTTAGACGTCGAATTTGTGCATCACAGCTTTGATTCAATGTGGGTCTTACACGTACTCGTAATTTGTCACGGAGGGATGAAAATTTGAAAAATCCATTTCTTGGGCAGCAAAGGACAGCATCTTTCTTTAAAAAAAAAAAAGCATCTTTGTAAAGTTGCCTAGACTTTTCTTTTTTCAAATTAAAAAAAAAAAAACAATATTTACCTCAAAGCTTCGTTTTTATTCACTTGCACTTTTTCTCCGGCAAATTCTTTACTGCTACAATTAATTACTCTCACTCTAGCTGGAGCTGGAGTCACAGCAAAGAGTATTTATACTTTAATTACTGGGAGTAATTAATCATAACTATTGACCATTCATTATTTTTAAGCCGAGCCGTACATGGGTTTTTCAATTTTTTTTTTAGTAAGTAGTTAAATATTAGATATTCAATGTCAATATATTTACAATTTCTTAATTTAATATTTATCCTTTGTTTTGTTTTAATCCATTAATATAGAATTTCAAACCAGATTGTTAATGATATGCTCCCTTTGATTTCAGTATATATGTGCTTCATATACTACAGGTAATAGATATTAAATAGATTTAAGCCTCTAAACTAAAATTGTTATCTTTATATTTCTTATTTTTCTGGTCTCATAAACTAATTTTATGATTTATAATTTAAAAAGAATTAAAATTACATTTTATATTTATTTACTTATTGTATCCATCAATCATTATTTACAAACTCTTAAAATTAGTCAAATTTTCATATATGGTAAGTCACAACTGGCTCAATAATAAATTTAATCGCCTTTAAGTGATATTGAATTAGAATCTTATTAATGATTTTTTTATTAGCGCATCCCCAATGCAACACATCTGTCTCGCTTGTGTTTTGCTTTTGTTTTAGCCAAAGTTGGCTGCCTAAAATCAAAATTTGATGAATCATTTTTATTTTTTTTATTTTTAAAAAACTAAATTTGATGAAACGTTTAAATAAATAAAAATGATTACATAAATATTTCTTATCTCGTTAATTAGAGGTCGAACAAATTAATATAAGATTATTATCAAAATTATCATGTCAAAGTTACTATTACTAATATATGGTAACCATATTCTTAATATGGCAAAGTTACTATTAAAACTCTTTGATAAACATATGAAGGCGACTAATCCAATTATAATCATTAGAATAACAATTTAATTTTTGCATCTTCCTTTTAATTGAATAATTTGATAAAATAAACTCGAAGAAGGTGTTAATGATTTTTTTTTATATAAAAATACCGTAATTTGAAAATAACAAAAAAAATTTATAAGTATTAAATTGATTAAATGTTATTTTTAAATATAAAAATATAAATTAATTGAATTAGATCTCATATCCATGTTAATGAATTTTAGGCAACATAAAATTTGTTTCCAAAAACTAAACCACGAATACCCATCTTTTATTCAACAACCATACGCAACAAGGCCATAACGATAAAAAAAATCAAGAAAATGGGGCAGTGGGCCGAAAGAGACCAACTTTAATTTTTTTGGAATGGGATAACGGAGGGGGTGGGATTATATGATAATTATCATCAGTTAAGAGTGAGACACAGCTGTGTGAAACTGAAACTTAGCCATAAAATAGGCTGAAATTTTCTTTGTTTCTTTCTGCTGCTGCTTTGTCTTCATCCTAATCAAGTTATTGAAATTCGTTTTTTTTTTTTTTACATTATTTATATTGTATTAGTTATTCATAGATAAAGCCTGGCTAGGGGAAACTGATTATATGGGATATATGCTGCTCTGGTCCCAATCCCAAATCATTTTTTTACGTCTACCTTTAAAAAAAATTGATTAATATTATGAATCATTTATATTAAAATATTTAATATGATTTTTTAATTTTAAAAATTTTTAATATAATATTTAAATAATAAATTTGTTAATTAATATAATATTAATTTTAAATGATGACATGTTATATATAAATAAATTTTAAAATATTAAATTAATTAATAAATTTATAATTTAGATATTATATACATTTTAAAAAAAATTAAATATCATATTAAATATTTCATTATAATTTAAAAGTATTCATGATATTATTTATAAAATAATATCATGTAATCAAATTTTTAACTTTATCCACCGGATTATAGGTATAATAAAAAATAATGCATGTTTTTTTTTTTTTTTTACCAGTAGTGCTAATGCATGTTATGTACTAAAAAAGTTTACCCGCCACCTTTCCAAGTCACAGAGAACTTAAACATGTGCTATGGTTTACTATTGGTAAGTATATACCTTGCTTGCTAAAATGATGATTCGAATTCTTAATTTTATTATCAGAAAAATGTAATATACATTTGAACATTTTATTTTTTTTCATATAATAAGTTAATTCGAATTCTCATTTTTCAAAATAGTAAATATAATACAACATGAAGTGAGTGAAAGTGACTTTCAAATGGAAATATCCTGTATAATATATATTAAGGTTGGCTTTGAGAGTTTGGTATAAAGTTTTCCATGGGCTTGAGCAGCACACTTCTAGTAGGCTACAGTTTTTAAAGTCAGAGGCTAAAATCAATTTTCGAATTTTTTAAATTTTCTTCTCAATCCTAAGATCGACTCATTGAGCTCATCACAAATGCTCATATGCGCACGTTTACTTCTAATTTTGCTACATGATCTCAGTGATGATGACACCAATATCACAATTTGTGTACTCTTTTTTTTTTTTCTTTTTCTCCACGGTCGGTGCATTATGCTCTTTTTTTTTTTAATAATTGAATGGTAAACGAATTAAAATATGACACTTCCTAATCCTTTCTAAAGATAAATATAGGAGTACAATATACTTGAAAATTTTTGTCGTGTCGTGTCCTATTGAAATACGGTCATTTAAGATTAGTATCAACGAGAGTATTAGTAAGACGGGTAACTGAGTCAATTTCTTGTTAGTTTTTATTAATTTATGCTTTTTTTAATGTCATAAATTATTTTTAAATTATAATAAAATATTTAATATGATATTTAAATTTAAAAAAATTTTAATATAATTTTTGAATTATAAATCTATTAATTAATTTAGTATTTATCTCTAACGTGATTATATTTAAATGATGACATGTAATGGATAAATAATTTTTTAAATATTACATTAATTAATATATTCATAATTTAGATATCATATTAAAAATTTTTAAAATTTAAATATCATATTTAAATTTTTTATTATAATTGAAAAGTCATTCAGAATATTAAATTATTTTTTATAATGCATTTAGGTATATGATTTTCAGGTTTTACTGCTAGATTGCACGGATGAAACCAGAGTTTAAAGCAAGTGGTGGCTAATACATCATATATATGGGTTAAGAAAGAATAACATAAAATTATATATATTTTTTCAATACAAACTTTATGATTTTAATTTCTTTGTGGATGGTTACTATTTAAACTTTTAATATACTAACTAATTTTTACATAGGAAATTTACGATTTATGATTTAAAATTTAAAATTTTACTATACTATAAGACAACTAAATTTTATCTTATTAATACTAACAATGTAAATTGTGAATATATAATATCATATATATGTAGTTAAAATTTGATTTTGTGTGGAAAATTACAGTATATTTTTAATTATTGTGCATTATATGGGTTCAAAATAATTATTGTGTTTTTTAGATCTATCATAAAAAAATAAACTATATAAGGAAATATTTTTGCTAAAAGCAAAAAACTAAAATTTATATAAAAATTTAAAGTACATAGTGAGAATAAATGGATTAATGTGAAGAGAATTTGATTAAAAGTAATAAATTTACATAATAATCTAAGAAAATTTAAAATCTATAAAAAGTCTAAATAATTTGTAAAAGTTGAGTGCTCGCTAAATTAATTTAAAAAAAAATAAAAGGGGCAAGATATAGAGTAAATAGAAATGTGAAGAAAACTTCTATGGCCTAAGGGAGATTTTGAAAAACTGGCCCTTTTGCTTAATCCCTATATGATCAAATCCTTTTCAAAAAATTTTAAAAATTTTAAAAATACCTCTCTCATATCGAATCTTGATTAATAAAAAATCAAGTCATCTATTTATTATTCATGCTAATATACATTATCACCATTGTTGATTGTTTAAATAACTTAATATTAATTTAGCAAAAACTTGTAATCATCATTATCTATAAGTATATACAAAATTTATCCCCTTTAACATTTAACATTGACAGGTCAGTAATGCTATTAAAAAGGATTAATGAGTTAATTTGGGAAAATGAGTGTTCTTTTAATGTTACTAATCTCTCTTCTCTTTTTTTTTTCCAAAGTTTTCTTCTTATCTTTCATTCTTTCTTTGGTTCACTATTTCTTTACTTCTTTTTTTTTTTGTTATTGTAGGTATGTTTCTTTTTTTTTCTTATGTTTTTCTTTTTTTTTTTGGTCTGTTTGTTCTTTTCTTTTCATGTCTCTATTTTTTATTTTTTGTGTTTTTTTATCAATGATGAAATCAAAATTGTTGAAGCAATAATTTAAGTTGTTTTTAAGCTTTTATTTCATACATTGTTCAGATTGTTGTTTTATGGTTATAGGTTTCATTTTTGTGTTTTGATTTTTTTT